GGATGCAAGGGTGGGGTGGGTGGGGGGGAGGGGGGGGTGGTGAATGGGGGCGGACACGGGTGAGATGCCCTCCTGTAGACCAGCCTGTGCTGGGGCCAGCTCCGTGGTGGGCAGGTGGGGGCCAGGGCCGGGGCCACGCTGAGCTCTGCCCTGTCCCCAGGTGTGGCCGGGACACGGAGGACGAGCGGCGGCTCCTGGGGCTGGAGCTGGACAAGGCGGCTGGGTCCCTGCTGCTGGCCTTCCCCCCGTGCGTGGCCAGGGTGCCCGTGGCTCGCTGCCAGCAGCACTCGGGCTGCATGAAGTGAGTGTGCCGGTCTCAGCCGCCCCCGGGACGGGCAGGGCTCGCTGCGGGGCGCATGTCAGGAGCAGAGAGGGCTTACCTTCACATCCCAGGAATTTGTCCTGTGCTGCGATCCAGCTGGGAAGGGCTCAGCATAGCTGGGAGCACGGCCAGGGGAAACTGAGGCACAGCGTGGTGCAGGGCCTCGTGGGGGCCGAGGTGTTGTCCCCTCCATGTCGCGGCTGATCCTGACGTCTCTGCTCCCTGCCAGGAACTGCCTCGGGAGCCGGGATCCCTACTGCGGCTGGACGCCCGAGGGCTCCTGCGTCTTCCTGGAGCCCAGCCCCAGGTAATGCTGCCAGGCCTGGGGGGGACACTGGGGGACACGGGATGGGGGGACAGCAGGGGCTCAGGGGCTCCCCAGAGAGCATCAGCTCCTGCAACCCCCCTACTGCTGGGACCCAGCAAACTCATCGCTTGCTGAAGCAAGCTGGGAGCCCTCTGCCAGGCTACTTGGGACCGGCTGATCCCCCCGCAATTTGTACCCCCGCAGGGTGGCCTTCGAGCAGGACATCGCCGGCGGCAGCACGTCCCACCTGGGCGAGTGCGAGGGTGAGTGCGGGGCAGGGATGGGGCTCGGGGACACGGTGGTGGCACCGTCAGGTCCCCACCGCGGCCGTCCCCTGATGTCCCCCCTCTGCCATCACGCAGGGCTGGTGACGGAGAGCTTCGTGGACGAGCCGGACGGGCTGGTATCGGTGAACCTGTTGGTGATCTCCTCCGTAGCCGCTTTCGTCATCGGCGCCGTCATCTCCGGCTTCAGCGTCTGCTGGTTCATCGGCCACCGGGACCGCAAGGAGCTGGCACGCCGCAAGGACAAGGAGACCATCCTGGCACACAGCGAGTCGGTGGTGAGCGTCAGCCGGCTGGGCGAGCGGCGGGCACGTGGCGGGCAACCCGGCGCCTTGCTGGCCCCGCTCATGCCCAACGGTTGGCCCAAGGAGCTGGGGAAGGTCACCCAACACGACCTGGACTCGGGGGTCCTGCCCACGCCGGAGCAGACCCCGTTGCAGCAGAAACGCTGCCCTGGCGCCCTCCAAAACTGCACCTGGGAGCAGAGTCACAACATCATCAACGCCGCTTTGCGGGACCCCAGTGGATCCGGCACTACCACCGCCGGTGCCGGACGGCTGCACGCCGGCTCCGGCCGCCCGGCTCGCGGCATCCCCCTCTCCTGCCACGCCATCCTGGTGGACCAGGAGCTGGAGGCCGAACTCAGCGACTCCTCGGGTGACGGGCATTGGGGTCGGGACCCCCAGGAGGGTCCTCGCACCCGGCAGCACCCACCCGCCGGCGCCCGCCGCCCACCCCGCAGCTCCTACGGTGACTTCGCCGGCACACCGCATCCCAGCCCCGATCGCCGACGGGTGGTTTCGGCGCCCGGTGGGGAGGGGGGAGACTTTACCGAGGGGCCACCCTGGCACCCCGAGCAGCTGAACTTCAACGCCAACAACGGCACGGGCCGCCCCGGCGCCCACCTCAAGAGGAACCACACGTTCAACAGCGGCGAGGCGCCGGCGGGCGGGTGTGGGCGGCACGGTACGGCACCCCGGGCACCCAGTGCCGGGCCCCCACGGGCGCTGACGGACCTGCACCACCTCCTGCGCTACGGCGTGGAGCGGACTCCCTCGGGAAAATAGGGTGCCACCACGTGTGCGTGTCCCCTCCCAGGGCACCCATGGGATCCCCTGGCTCCCTGGGGACAGGGAGGGGTGGCCGGGCAGGAGCTGCGGGCATGGGGTGAGGTGCTGCGTGGGTGTGGGGGGGGGGCAGGCACCCCTGGGTGCTTGGGATGGAGTTTGGGGGTGTCCCCAGCTGGCGTGGGGCAGTGCCCCGCGCTCCGGCTGCTTTGCCTGGATCCCAGGGGGAGTCGGTCCATCCCGTCCCCTCCCCAGGTTGGACCCAGGGACCGCAGCACCCTGGGAGGGGGATCCCTGGGAGGCAGCAGGATGGACGGACACACGGACATGGGCACAGCCGAGGCAGAGCAGGGCTGTGCCCCCCCCTGCAGCCCCTTGGACCCATCGGCCGTGCCCAGGCACCCAGGGGGGCTTGTGGGCACTGCCAGCACCCTGGGGACCCCCGGCCAGGGGGTGCCACTGGGGTGCGTTGGTTGCGGTGATGGGACACGGTGAACATTTGGGGTGCAGGGGCGTGGGGGGCCCCCAAATGTGTGTGTTATCTGGGGATGGGGCACACTCACCCCCCCTGGCCTGGGGTCAACCCCTGCCCAGTGCCAGCTTGGGAGGGGGCTCATCCATCCCCCCCCAGCACCCCCCTTCTGGAAAGCACAGCCGGGGTGCGGGGGCACCGCTGGGGCTGGGGGGTCCCCACCGAACCCACTCTCTGCTGGCAAAGGGTGCCCTTTCGGTGCCGCCCCTGCCCGGCCCCGGGGTGGCGGGTCCCCGGGGGGGTGACAGGCTGTAAATAGGGTGGGGGGCGGCGGGTGTCCCCCACCCCGTGGCCATGCATGCGGTCGCCCGCGGTCTGTACCCCGCGGCCCCAATAAACGCCCGTTTACCGGAGGCGACTCCCCCGCCGCTGCCTCGGCCCCTTCTTCCCCCCCCACCCCGGACCCCCCGGCCCCGGGGGGGGCGG